TCTCAACCACGGCCCTGCCGGCACTCCGGACGGACGAGGGAGTCTGTGCTGTGGGGACTGCCCTGCGCACTGTCGGGTGCAGCAGCCCCTCCCGTCAGGACCCCCCAAAACGTTCCCAGGTGTTGCCACATGCCCTGAGGGGGCAGGCGGGGGGATCATATATGGTTGAGAACCTCTGCCATAATGGAAAACTGCTATCTTTTTTTAAAGCACACATTCAACTATTCACTAAATAATGAACATCTCATCTGCAATCATCCCGTGTTGCCCACTAGGGGAATAAGCCTAAAGCAGTGGTTCCCAAACTTATTTGGCCTACTGCCCCCTTTCCAGAAAAAATATTACTCAGCCCCTGGAAATTTTTTTTTTTTAAATTTTAATAGCAGTTACTCATCGCCCCCAAATGCACCTGTGGCCATCACCGCCCCCCTGGATCGCTGCAACGCCCACCGGGGGGCAGTAGCGCCCACTTTGGGAATCACTGGCCTAAAGCACGGGGAAGGAGCACCCCGACCCGGGACTCAGGGCCTGTTTGAGCCCTGTCTGCCACGGGCTGTGTGGTCCAGGGCACCTTCCTTAGCCTCGGGGCCTCAGTTTCCTCGCTGGCCCAATGGCAGCAACGCCAGCACAGCCCTTGCGGGGGCGCTGTAGGGTAACTGGCACAGCCCGAATGAACGCTAACAGGGGGGTCATTGTGTCCATAATCAGAGGTTCTCAGCTGGGTTCCTCGGAGCTGGAGAGTGCCAGAGGTTCTCAGGCTTTGCCCAGCAGAGCGGAGGGGTGGCTGGGGCTCAGCGCCCCCGACTTGGGCTGAGAGCAGCACAGCAGCCCCAGGCTCTGACCAGCCCTGCCCGGTCTTAGCTCCTGAGCCGGACAACATCTCCCACGGGCCAGGTGTGGCCTGGAGACTGTTTGCTGACCCCTGAACCGCACCCCTCCTTCAGCACTGGCTCAGGGCTGGCCCGGAGGAGCTTTCGGAGAGGGGGTGTTTAAACTGGGGTTCTGAGCAGGATTCAGTCTGGAAAAATGGTTTCCTTGATTCGTGGAGGCCAGAAAGGAAACCCTGGCACTAAGTGCTGGGTGTGTAGACGGCGCCCACCCTGCCATGCTTCTGCACCCCGCCCCAAGAACGTTTTCCCACATCTAGTGAATTCTGGGGGTGTCTCCACCACATTCAGGCTGTGGCTGCGGACAGAGGGACCATGTTGCATTTCCATGCAGCACACATCCCACTGAGGGCTTCGCACTAAATAGATGCTGACAAAACGCGTGGTGAGAGGCAGAGTGCCTGCATGCAGGCCTCCAATCCGTCTGGTCAGCTTCTAGGACAGGTGCAACTATAGTGATCAACGCTACAGCAGAGGCCTAGCACCACGGTTCCTACCTGTTGGCACATATGAAGGGGAAAAAAATAAGAAAGACAAAAATGAAATTGTTTAAAAAAATGTGAATTCACTGAAAAACTGGGAGATGCTGCACAAAGACCTGGATTTCTGGCATGCTAGGCATTCTCACTGACTGCAACCAGTTGAAACCGAGTGAGGTGGCCTCTTTAGAAAGGACATGTGCTGTCTAGTTTGCCATAGTCCTCACCACTCCCTAATGTCTGGCACCTGGTCCTCTTCTCTCATGGATATCACCTGTCTGATTTCTGTAGGTGCCTACGTTTGTGCCATTTCATCAACAGAAAAATTCCTCCTCCTCTCTTTTCTTGTGAATTAATATACTAAAGCTACCACTCATAGGCCTTGAAAAGATGTTATCAAACATCAAGTGAATTTAAACAAGTCTCTTGGAGATGCTGGTAAAAACATAGTTTGTAACTTTAAATGTTAACACTTTTCTTCACATAGTAAATATTGATCGCAATAGTTGTTTTTACTTAATGTGAAGAAAAAAATAAATGTGGAAGAGGTTTTTTTAAATGTACATGCAAAGGTCTTTGAAGTAAGTCACAACTAAGATAAAAACGACAGTGAATTCATTTCAAAAATAAATACCAAGCTGTAGGAGGCAGACAGGGGAAAGGGAGGGACGGAGGGAAGCAAACTGAGGGGGATTTGTGGGTTTTACCCTCAACCTACACCCTTTCCTGACAAACAGGCACAGACATTGCTGCTTAAACGAGGGGCTGGTCAGCAACCTGGCCCACCGTCTGTTTTTGTAAAGAGTTTGGGTGGAACTGACCACATCTGCTCAGTGTTGTTTGGTTACTTCTGGGCCCCACGGTGGCGTGGAGTAGATGCAACACAGACCGATGGCCCACAAACCTGACAATGTTACTGTGTGGCCCTTTGCAGAACAAGTTGGCTGGCCTCTGGCTTGCACAGTCACCACCCGCACCCTGAAACTTGAATGGCCTGGAATTCTAAAGCAAGATCACTTTCCCCTTGGGAAGCAGCGAACCTTCCCGCTGAAATAGAGGCGCCGAGGGAGGCGCTCTGATCTGCAGTGTTGGGGACGGAGCCGAGTTCTGGGATGTCATTTTCAATGCCAGTTCGTTGGGGACCAGTCTTCTCCTGCTCCTCAAGGTCCAGGATGCCCGTGAAACGCAGACCAGCTGGGGCCTCCTCGTAGCCCCCATCTCAACTGGGCTCCTCCCTCCTCGTCACAGACAGGTGACTCTGTTTATCGACACCTCCTTCTGCACTAACGGCTGTTAGGACAGAAGGACACTGAGCAAAGACTGGCCCAAGGACCCTGAGTGGACAAGGCACAGAGCCTTCTGGGTGATCTGACTCCAAAAGCGAATCTGCCAAGACTGTAGACTCTCCGACTCCTGACGGTTGAAGCTGGGGACCCACACGCCCACACCTGGAGCTGGGACGCCCCCAGGCTGACGTCTGTTCCTTCACCACTCTCTCCGGGAGCTGGGATTGGAGTCCAGCAGCAATGACTCATTCCCTCACCTGGGACGCGCCCCGGGCCCGCCCCACTGCAGCCTCTCACAGTGTGAACACTCCCACCGCAGCCCTCAGCATCACCTGTCTCAGGAGGTGGGCGAGCAATGCATACGAGGAGCCACCGAGGCCACTGCTCTCTGCCAGCCCTCGGTGCAGAGCCTGAACCGCTCAAGCTCGAACATCAGTTCCAGGGCCACCACTTGTCTTCGGAGAACCACACTGGCCAGCCACCAGCACCATCACCCTCACCTCCGTCCGAACTGGGATGTGTCCACTCTTGCGTCCCCCATCTCCCCCATAATCTCCACACCGAGGCTG